ATAATTAGAACTGAATCCGTTCATTGACACCAAGATCAGTGATGGATTATAATACTAGAGACAACACCTGCCCCAGCATGCACGCTATAATAATATCTTAGTGTTGCAGCTGTTCAAGGGAAACGTACTCCTACCAAACAGAGTTGTGTTTAATGGAAAAGTACCTTTCACTGCTTCTGCTTCAAGTTTAGATTTAAATTAGTTAAAATGAAATAAAATTAAAAACTCAGTTCTTTGGTTGCACCAGCCACATTTCAAATGCTATGTAATATTGTTTTTCAAACTGGTTTACAGTCAACTAATTCAGTGTGTTGACAGCTATTTTCTTTAAGCAAAATAGAATGGAATAAAATAGAATTGAAAATATTATTTCATCACATGAAATAAGGATACCTTCTTTTAGACTTTTGTTTCAGTATATATGTTGCATATATATGGGTAGGTCACAAAGTAAAAATAAATTTCTTACTAAAAATAAAGTGAAAAGTTTTTGAAAATCACTTCTCTATAGTACATTGCCTTTCACATAATAGGTTTAAAAAAAAGTTAGGTTGAATTGTGATTAGTGGCACACATTTGTAAGATGACAGTTTAAAATGATCGCTTTTTTAATGGCAACAAAAGCCAAAATTGACAAATGGGATCTAATTAAACTAAAGAGCTTCTGCACAGCAAAAGAAACTACCATCAGAGTGAACAGGCAACCTACAGAATGGGAGAAAATTTTTGCAATCTACTCATCTAACAAAGGGCTAATATCCAGAACCTACAAAGAACTCAAACAAATTTACAAGAAAAAATCAACCGCATCAAAAAGTGGGCAAAGGATATGAACAGACACTTCTCAAAAGAAGACATTTATGCAGCCAACAGACACATGAAAAAATGCTCATCATCACTAGCCATCAGAGAAATGTTAATCAAAGCCACAATGAGATACCATCTCACACCAGGTAGAATGGCGATCATGAAAAAGTCAGGAAACAACAGGTGCTGGAGAGGATGTGGAGAAATAGGAACACTTTTACACTGTTGGTGGGACTGTAAACTAGTTCAACCATTGTGGAAAACAGTGTGGCGATTCCTCAAGGATCTAGAACTAGAAATACATTTGACCCAGCCATCCCATTACTGGGTATATACTCAAAGGATTATAAATCATGCTGCTATAAAGACACATGCACACGTATGTTTATTGCGGCACTATTCACAATAGCAAAGACTTGGAATCAACCCAAATGTCCATCAGTGACAGACTGGATTAAGAAAATGTGGCACATATACATCATGGAATACTATGCAGCCATAAGAAAGGTTGAGTTCAGGTCCTTTGTAGGGACATGGATGCAGCTGGAAACCATCATTCTCAGCAAACTATCACAAGAACAGAAAACCAAACACCGCATGTTCTCACTCATAGGTGGGAATTGAACAATGAGAACAGTTGGACACAGGAAGGGGAACATCACACACCGGGACCTGTTGTGGGGTTGGGGGAGGGGGGAGGGATAGCATTAGGAGATATACCTAATGTAAATGACGAATTAATGGGTACAGCACACCAACATGGCACATGTATACATATGTAACAAACCTGCACGTTGTGCACATGTACCCTAGAACTTAAAGTGTAATAAAATTAAAAAATAAATAAGATGATCACTTTTTAAAAACAATGCCACTTAAATAAATTTTTTTCCCTGCAAACCTAGCTGCAGATGTTAGATAGCAATAGAGAAAGGTAGAGAGGTAGATTGGGGTCATATTATGACATACTAATAATTTTGGACTATTCTGTTGGAAATAATGAGTCACTGAAGCATTTTAAGCCAAGGCGTTATGTACAAGATTGTTCTGACAAGGAAAAACAGTTAACTTAAAATTGTCCCTCCAACCACTTTGACTTGTGTTTACTTCTAATTACCCTGGAGTCAAACTCTTCATTCTGTTTAAACCATAAAGTATAAGATCTTCCTTCTCTATAAAAAGTCCTTTTCACCAGTACCTAACATTCCTTTGTCTTTTATTGCTTACTGTGCACGATTGCCAGCTTGTACCTTTGGGCTCTCCTGGGGAGTTCTCTGGGCCTGCCATGCCCCATTCCCTTCCTACCAATGTAATTAACCCCAGTCTCTCATAAAATTCCTGAAATCATTGCTTCCTGGGTCAGATTATTTGCCAGCACGTGAACACATGTATTAATCTATTTTTTCGTCGTTTGTATTTTCTTCTCCCATTTCCCTCCCCGAACCCAGGCCACTTCTCAAATGCCTTTAATGTGTATCTCTTTGTCTCTGTACTTTTGCAGTATATGTACTGTTTTGTATGCATCTATGTTTAATTCATGTAAATTATGACATACTGTGGATGTCATTCTGTTTGACATTTTTCACTAAGTACTACATGGGTTTTATTTTTTAACTTTTCATTTTGGAATGTTACAATAATATACAAAGGTAGAATAGTATAACCCCTATTACTCGGTATTGACGATTGTCAGTCAGTTTACAACCAGTCTTGTTTCATCTTTGTACCACCCACTTCCCACTTCCCACCTTCCTGCATCATGAAACAAATCCCAGATGACAACTCCATTTCATCTAGAAATATTTCAGTATGTGCAATATATGTCAAAAATAGACTCTTTTTAATATAAATATAGTGCCGTTATTTTAACTAAAAACTTTTAAATAATAATTTGCTAGTATCAAATCAGTGTTTAAATTTTCAATTATCTCATAAACATTTAACAGTTGGTTTGAACAGTTTCCATATTAGGTCCACACATTGCAATTGGTACAAAGTGCCTTAGAATCTATAGATTTCCTTGACATGACTCTTTGTTTCTTATAATTTAATTGTTGAGGAGCCAGCACTTTTATTCCCAACATCTGGATTTTGTTGATTTCCTCATGGTATAGTTTGACATGTTCCCCTCTCCTTTGTGTTTCCTGTAAATTGTTAACTAGAAATATGTTGTGATTCAGGTTTTATTTTTGCTTTTGTTTTTGTTTTACAAGACTGCTTCATAAGTGATGCTGCCTCCTTTCATCAGGAGGCATGTAATGTCTGGACAACTCTCATTTTGTGATGTTAGCACTCTGTTTCAAGGTGCACCCCTGCTGCCGTGTGTACACCTAGTTCTTTGTACTCCATGGCATTAATTTATCACATTTCATCTACTTATTCTCATTGTGTACCCAGATTGCCTCCAATTTGTTGTTACCACAAACACTACTGCAGTGACATCCTCATTCACGTCACCATAGACCTGAAAATTTATTTGGAAAATAGACCCTGTAACATGACTGCTAGGTCATAAAATAGTCTAAGCTTGATTTGCCAAGCACTGCCAGATCGCAGTGACATGACCATAGCACACAGTAACCACCTGCCTCAGCCTCCCAATTAGCTGGGATTACAGATGCACACCACTGTACCCGGCTAATTTTTAAATATTTTTATAGAGATGAGGTCTCATTATCTTGCCCAGGCTGGTCTCAAACTCCTGTCCTCAAGTGATTCTCCTACCTCGGTCTCCCAAAGTGCTGAGATTACAGACATGAGCCACCATGCCTGGCCAGAGGTTTTTTTAAACTACCTACCCATTCGATGAAATAATATTGGTTATCTGTATAATAAACATTGAGAATTTTAAACAATATGAACAAAATATTTTTCTTGTAAAAATAAAAAATTTCAAGAAGCGAGCCGGGTGCCATGGCTCACGCCTGTAATCCCAGCACTTTGGGAGGCCAAGGTGGGTGCATCACCTGAGGTCAGGAGTTCGAGACCAGCCTGGCCAACATGGCGAAACCCTGTCTCTACTAAAAATACAAAAATTAGCTGAGTGTGCTGGTAGGTGCCTGTAATTCCAGCTATTTGGGAGGCTGAGGCAGGAGAATCACGAGCCAGGGAGGCAGAGGTTGCAGTGAGCCGAGATCACACCATTGCACTCCAGCCTGGGCAACAAGAATGGAACTCCATCTTAAAAAAAAAAATTTTCAGAAGCTTGAATTTATTAACTCACAGATTTTTTATTAACTGACAGACTTTTTCTTTTATAAAGCTTGCCACTTTGAACTTCTTGAAGAATATATATGTATATACATGTATATACACATATATGTATATATAGTTATTCATATGTATATATACATATATGTGCATATGTATGTATATATGTATATATTTTTTAACTTTTAGGCTCGGGGTACATGTGCAGATTTGTTACATGGGTAAATTACATGTCATGGGGGTTTGGTGTACACATTATTTTGTCACCTAGATAATAACCATAGTGTCCAATAGGTAGTTTTTCTGTCCTCACCCTCCTCCCACCCTGCACCCTCAAGTTGGTCCCAGTGTCTGTTGTTCCCTTCTTTGTGTCCATATGTACTTGATGTTTAGCTCCCACTTGTGAGAACGTGGTATTTGCTTTTCTGTTCCTGTTAGTTTACTTAGGATAATGGCCTCTTGCTCCATTCGTGTTGCTGCAAAGGTTGTGATCTTATTCTTTTTTATGTCTGAGGAGTATTATATGGTGTATTTGTACCACATTTTCTTTATCCAGTCTACCATTGATGAGAATTTAGGTTGATTCCATGTCTTTGCTATTGTAAATGGTGCTGCAGTGAATACACACGTGCATGTGTCTTTATACTAGAATGATTTATATTCCTTTGGGTATATACCCAATAATGGATTGCTGGGTCAAATGGTAATTCTCTTTTAAGTACTTTTAGAAATTGCCAAACTGCCTTCCCTGGTGGCTGAACCAATTTACACTTCGACCAGCAGTGTGTGTGCATTCCCTTTTATCTGCTACCTTCCCAGCATGTTATTATTATTATTATTTTTTTTAGTTTTTAATAATGGCTATTCTGTAGATATTTTCTGATTCTGGTGTTCCAGTTTCCAAATGACATACATTTTTCATGACTATGTTTATTCTAGATTTTTAATTTGTTGCAATATTTCCTTTTATTTCTCATTCACAGCAATTTTAGATTTTTGATGATTGCTTTAGCATATGCCATACCACTTGGTGTATTTGCTGGCTGGTCTGGAGTTCTGGACTTAATTTTAACACCAGCGCACGTCAGCCAAGTAAGTATTTTATGTCTTTATATGTTGTAGATATTTTCATTCATTTGATTTATAAATACTGGTTACGTGTTCTTGGTTTTAGCTTCAAGGACTGGGTAAAACATTGTCCTATACCATTGTTGCAAAAGCAAGATCTTTATGGAATGGGTAAAAAATAATGTTGATTTTCCTCCTTGATTTTGACAATAGTTATGAATTTCACATTTCTCTGGACATTATTAATGATACGACTGGCTTTTTAAGAAAGGAAGGAAATCTTAGTTTTGTTGACTCCATTCTTTATCCTTTCTTCATACCTTATGAAGAAGACTAAGATCCCATATCAATTATATAGCTATTTCTTCATCTAGTTTCTGACTTTCTCTGTGGGCTCCAAATAAGGGTATTTCATTTCTTTAAAAATAACCATTTCACCTATATGCTTGATACCATCCATTCCTTCTCTTTGCTTCCAGATAGCACGGTAGAAAAGAGGATAGAGAAATATGGAGAGGTAAATAGAAGAAAACACACTAATGTGATATTCTATTGTATGAGTGAAAAAAAAAATTTGTCTATTCTGCTTTTAGTGAACATTTGGATTGTTAACCTTTTTTGACAACCACAAACAATGCTATATTAACACTCTCATACATGTCTCTATGCACTTCTATATACATTTCTAATGGATACATATCTAGGAATGGAACTGCTGGTTATAGTATATGCTACTTTGGTAGGTGATGCCAAACTTCTCCAAAGTGGTGGTATCCATGTATAATCCTACCAGCAATATATGAAATTTCTCATCATCCCACATCATTTGCCACTTGTGTGATGATATTAGTCTTTTTCACTTTAGACGTGCTGATAGCTGTGCAGTTGTATGCCATCGTAGTGACTTCTGTGGTGTCTTTTCAGTGTGAATTGGATATTTTGAATATCCTTTTCTGGTGACATACCAGTTTGAGTCTCTTGCCCACTATTGGGCTACGTTTTTCTTACCAATATGTAAAGAAGAGAGCTGTGCAGAAGGGAGCTCCCCAGAGGACTTTGTGGGGACTCCAGTAATCTTTGGCTGAGAAATGGGCTGCACATATAAAGGGCAAAGCTACTAGAGGCTTAACAGAGAGAATGGTATGGATTGAAAGCAGAACAAAGATAGAAGAGGTCAAGCATTGTCTTGGAGTTCTGGCCCAGTCAAACTGTAGAATCAAGGACCATGTCCTAGATAGAGAAAGTCTTACTCTAGTTTAGACCCATCATAAACAAAGACAAAAATCTGAAGAGGAGACACTTTGGAGATCTATCCTTACAAAGCACAAAATGAGGCCTACACATCCTCAAGGTAATCAAGCAATAATTGAACTGTCTACTAGAACAAAAGTCAACCATTTTAGAAAAAGTAAAAGAATCTAGAATCTCTTTATTGTATCATCCACAACATATAGTATACAATTTTTTTTTTTTTGACGGAGTCTCGCTCTGTCGCCCAGGCTGGAGTGCAGTGGCGCGGTCTCGGCTCACTGCAAGCTCCACCTCCTGGGTTCACGCCATTCTCCTGCCTCAGCCTCCCAAGTAGCTGGGACTGCAGGCGCCTGCCACTATGCCCGGCTAATTTTTTTGTATTTTTAGTAAAGACGGGATTTCACCGTGTTAGCCAGGATGGTCTCGATCTCCTGACCTCGTGATCTGCCCACCTCGGCCTCCCAAAGTGCTGGGATTATAGGAGTGAGCCACCGCGCCCAGCCCAGTATACAATTTTTTTAAAAAATGCATCAGACATGTAAAGAAACAGGAAAGTGTGACCCCTATTTGGCCAGGTGCAGTGGTCTCAAAAAATAAATAAATAAAAGTTTAAAAATTTACAAAGCAATCATTAGAAACCAACTCTTAGAAACTCTAGATGTTTGATTTAGCAGACTGAGGCTGTAATGCAGAAAAGATAAAGATAAATCTTTGCTTGCTCCAAGTTCATAAATATGTTATCTTGTACAACTGTGTCATCCTGTATAGTAGCTACTAGCCACATTCAAAATAAACTTCAAACTTAATTTGAAATTTAAACCAATTGAAATGAAATAAAAGTAAAAAATAACTTCCTTAGTTGTGTAGCACTTTTCAAGTGCAGGATAGCCACATGAGACTAGTAGCTACCATGTTGCACGGTGTAGATAGAGAACATTTCTATCATCAAAGAAAGTTCTATTGGACAGTGCTGTTCTAGGGCTTTGTTCTTTTACCTGTCACATTTACCTAGAATTTAAACCTAGAATTGATTTTGTACTTATTATAAGATAGGGGTTAAGTTTCTTTTTTCCCATAGATATTTGTTAACCTAGGATCAGTGTTTGAAAAGATCATTTTTTTCCTTCACTGCCCTCTGTTCATCTTTGTTGTAAGCAAGTTTCCTTCTATACACGGGTGTATTTCTAGACTTGATTCCTTTAGTCTCTTTGTCCCTGCACCAATACCAAATTGTGTTATTTATACTAGTGTTATAAATAAGCACTAGTTTTGATATTTAGTAAATATCCCCCTTTAATTGGGATTTCTATTAGAGTTTTTATATCTACAGATCATTTTCAAAATTAACTGCTTTATAATACTGAGTTTTCTGAACCATGATCATTATGTTTCTCCTCATTTGCTTAGGTCCCAATGTCTCTGAATGATGCTTTATAATTTTCAGCAAAGATACCTTCTGTGTGTTTATTAGCTTTATTCTCAGGTATTTGATACTTTTTGAAGCTATTGAAATTAGCAGCTTTTAACATTTTTATTTTATTTTTAAAATTGATATGTAATTGTTGCACATTTTGGGGGGATATATAATATTTTGATACCTGTACACAGTGTGTAATGATCAAATTGGTAAGAGTGCTATCCACCACCTCAAACGTTTATTTTTTCTTTGTGTTGGGAACCTTACAACTCTTATAGCTATTTTGAAATGTACAGTAAGTTATTGTTATCTGTAATTTCCCTACTGTATTATTGAGTACTAGAACTCACTCTTTCTATCTAACTGTATTTTTGTACCCCTTACCCAACTTCTCTTCATCTTCCCACCTTTCTTCATCAGTAGCTGGTAACTATCATTCTACGTTCTGCTTTCCTGAAATCCACCTTTTTAGTTCCCACATATGAGTGAGAACGTGCAATATTTGTCTTTCTGTATTTGGCTTATTTCAGTTAACATGATTTCACTTAACATCCATGTTGCTGCAAATAACAGGATTTCATTCTTTTTTGTGACTGAATAATATTCCATTGTGTATATATCTGATATTTTCTTGATGCATTCATCTGTTGATGACACTTAGGTTGTTTCCAGACCTTGGCTATTGTGAATAGTGCTGCAATAAACATGGGAGTGCAGATTTCTTTTTTATATACTGATTTCCTTTCTATTGTGTATATATCCAGAAATGGGATTGCTACATCATATGGTAGTTCTATTTTTTGTTTTCTAAGGAACCTCTGTACTGTTTTCCATAATGGCTGTACTTCTTTAATTACCACCAGCAGGGTCCAAGCACTCCCCCTTCTCTGTATCCTTGTCAGCATTTGTTACTTTTTTTGGTGATAGCCATCCTAACTGGGGTGAGATGCTATTCATTGTGGTTTTGATGTGCATTTCCCTGATTATTAGTGATGCTGAACATTTCTTTTTGTATATTTGTTGGCCATTGTGTGTCTTCTTTTGAGAAATGTCTATTCAGGTATTTTGCTTGTTTTTTAATTGGATTGGTTTTTTTGCTGTTGAGTTATTTGGGTTCCTTATAGATAGTGGTTATTAATCCCTAATTGGATGTATAGTTTGTGAATATTTCTCCCATTCTGCAAGTTTTCTCTTCCCTCTATTGTTTCCTTTGCTGTTCAGAAGCCTTTTAGTCTTATGTAATCCCATTTGTGCAATTTTGCTTTTGTTGCCTGTCTTTTGAGGCTGTATTCAAAAAATCTTTGTCCAGACCAGTGTCCTGTAGTGTTCCCCCAATGTTTTCTTTTAGTAGTTTCATAGTTTCAAGTCTTACATTGAACCCTTTTCCCTTTTAGGGGAAAAAAAATGTGCAGCTCACTGCCAGCACTCATTTAATTTTATATAAACATGCTCTTTGATGCTGAAGCAAATCTGACTAACTTTCAATATGAAAATATAAAAACTGTTCTTGGAGTTATTTCTAAACAGAACTAACATCAGAATCATCTGAATCATCAGAATCGTCTATCAGATTCCTCAAATGAATCTCTAGCCAATGACTGAGAACGATGTTAACATCACACGTAGGAATGCTCCTTTTTCTAGGATTTGACATTTTCAGCAGTTGAGAATTACTGTTTTGTAAATGGAAATACCACTACTAAAAACAGAATGCTATAAGTAGAATGATGTCTTTTGTCTCCAAAGTTGATATACTAAGAGTGATGTGAAAATAGTCATAAAAGCAAGATAGTTCATGGCGAAGATATCTTGGGGTAAATGCTGCAGCTGCAAAAGCGCCTCTGGCGAGTACTCTCAGGGCAAACGGGAAAAAGATTAAATCTTTAATCCATTTTGAGGTTTTTTTTTGTTTGTTTTTTTGGTTTTTTTTTTTGATACAGTATCTTGCTCTGTTGCCCAGGCTGGAGTGCAGTGGCAGAAGCATGGCTCACTGGAGCCTCAACTTCTTGGGTTTAAATGATCCTCCCACCTCAGCTTCCCAAGTAGCTAGGACTACAGGTGCACGCCACCATGCCCAGCTAATTTTTTCAAGTTTTGTAGAGACGAAGTCTCTATGTTTCCCAGACTGGTCTGGAACTCTTGAGCTCAAACAGTCCTTGCACTTTGGCCTCCCAAAGTGTGGGCCATGTCGGGCCATCTTTGTGTTTTAATTGGAGTATTTAGTGCATTTATATTTAATATAATTACTGACAAGTTTGGGTTTAGACCTACCATCTTACTATTCATCTTTATTTTGTTCAGCCCTTTCTATTCTTTTTGCCTTCTTTCTTACCTTCTGGATTAAGTATTTTTTATT